CTACTTAGTCAGAGGAGGTAGTCAACCCAACATGATAGAAGGATCCTTGTCGATAGCCATGGGTTGCGTCGTCCAAGGGTACCTTGTAGACCTGGGGTGCATATTTATCTAAGATGACAAATTTAAATCCACCTTAGTTAACATATAGCTTTGTGCCATATCAATTAGATCTATTGATTCATACATCAAGGATTTAGTGTCATTGGGGAGCATATGGGCTCTGACCATAACTGTAATATAATGGTGCAATTTGGCGACAAACCATCCGATTCAGAGAGCCCCGATCATAACCGTTTATCTGCGATGCCATTTAATGATAAAATCACCGGTTATATGATCTGTGTAATGTCCCTGCTGGCAAGAGACTGTTTGAGAATGAATCCTAGTGATATTCTTGACTAGAAAATCTCTTTGTGAGTTAAAGTGATATTTAAATTTGTCCATCTCGACAAATTATTGTGGAGGGTGGATGAATTTTGCTTTAAGCATTTAATGATGCATTTTAATTTTAAATATTTGGGTTGATATTTTTTTTTGGAGTTTTGATTTTTTATGGGTATCTAGTAGGTATTTTAGATATTTGGAATTAACACCTTCGATTGAGATTTACTTTAACACGACTATTATCGGGGTATTTATGGAAACTTTTATTTGGCGATTGAACCTTGTCAACTCTGTCTACTTGCAGATAAAGGATCAGGTTCTTTGTAGGTTTTATGCCCTTATTAGTGAATTTTCTTGATTATAAGTCTTAAAGGTCCAATATGAACATATATGAGAAATATCTCAGTCAACATTACGATCGTATATTTATTTAATGGTTTGAGTCGTGTCGACTCTCATACATTCATACAGAAGGATTGGGTTTAAGTTTATGTTCATTTCTTGACATGCACACCATCTTAAGATGTCATGTGTGTGCCTACAACATGCTTGCAAAGCCCATGCGAGTATTTAGGGGGTGTTTTTGTAATTATTTATCGAAACTTGTCGACACTATTTGATTGTTGATAGAGGATCGGGTTCATTACCGGATTTATGCTTTTATTGATAAGAACGTATAAAATAAATATTTCGATCAACACCGTGACTGTATATCTGTTTGATAGTTCGAGCCGTGTCGACTCCTACATACTCGCATAGAAGGATTAGGCTTGAATTTAGATTTATCATCTGACCAGCACATCATCCTCAGATGTTACGTGTGTATCCATAACATATTTGTCGGGGCCCATCCATGTGTATATTATTGCATGTATATAGATTAATGTGCTTGCATGTGCACTTCTGTATTTATGTGTATACGTGCTGCAATACACGTATGGGGACATTTTAAAATGTTTGGCACTCGTCAACTACAAGGGTAACCATTATTCGAACGTGTGTAATGTCTTATCTAGAAGCTTATAGATGCCTTCTATCCGCTTGTATGTGTATTGCAGATCCAGTGGCATTGTGTCTTACTATGGGTCTTACGCTACTTTGTACAGGTAAATTGTCGTGCACTAACTAATCTCTTGTTATTGTTCTTAGATAACTGCATTCACTACAGTTCTCTTATACTTGCTCATAAATAGCTTGTTGAGTGTATAATAGGTTTTCTACAACGGCTTACATAAGCTTGCATATGTTATAGTATTTATGGACTTGCCAGTAGATAACGTGATGAATGTATTCTTGTGTTCATTGAGGGCCTGTCAGATCTACAACATATCTACCAATGTTTCTTGCAGGTAAATTGACACCTTTGTTTGCATTGATTACAAGCACGTTGTAGCATTCAATGTGTACTATTTTTATATATTTACAAGACGCATACTACTTGTGGATACATTAATGTGTTCTTTACATGTTGATCATATGGTCATATGAGAATTGCATATTCATTTGTCTATTAATTAGCATTGGTTCTAAGAGTTTTCTTACATCCATTTCCTACTGCTGGTTGTCACCTGTAGGTGTACCATTATGTATGCAACGATTCTTCCGTTGTTGCCAGTAGGTATTTGTATTTTTCGTATGTTGTATTACATGAGCTACTGCGTTCCCTTACAAGTTGATGTTAACTATAAGAATGTTGCTACACTGGTAATTACGTTCTTTATACTTTGCTCATGAACACATTACCTATGTTCATTACAACTACTACATTCCCTTTTATTAGTATGAGCATTGCACATCAATTAATCACCGCTTATAAGCAATTCACGATGCTTATGGGGAATTATGTTGGTTTGCTGACACATCTTTCAAATTGATGTATCTTCCTGATATTGAATTATTTTTGACCGTGTGAATGCCCTAACATTCATTGCATGTTACACTTTATCACCCATAGGTGGACTGCTGTATGAATAATGAGTCTTCTACAATGGCTTGTAGGAGCTTGTATGCATTTGCTGGATGCTCGATTGATGTTGACTGAGAGCGTCTTTGCAATCATGGCATATCGACCATTATCATTTACAGAAGTTTAGCGTGTTTTCATGTAAGACAACATTGACTGTTGGATGCACTACATTCACTGCTCGTCCCTCTATATGTGAGGGTTGGCAGATTGCCATCTTCATTGCATGTCAGCTAGTGTTCTTTGAATGTTAATGTGAGCATCATTGACTTCCTTATGCATGCCTGTAGGTGGCTCATCGTACATTGACATTTAGTATTCGGAAGAGGCTGATGTGGCCAATTGGCATCGACTGTAGGAATTCCACTACATTTGTTGCACACTTTTCATGAGCACATTATTGTGTTCATTGTGGATGTCATGTTTGCACAAGAAACAGACACTGATTGAAGGGATTTTGTAGCTTTTGTTGCATACTACTTGTATATGTTTGTAGGGAACATATCGCATTCGTAGTTCGTCCACTATTGTTCCTTGTAAGTGGATAGCATGTGCATCTTGCACTTGTGTCCGCCTGTGAATCCCTTGCACTCATACACTTCAACTGTTATTATTCTTATGAGGGCTACATCGAATGTAGTTGTTTGCATATAGGATACTATGTATTTATATCTGCAAATTATCCAGCATTGGTAAAAAAGGGGCTATCTCCTTTACAATCCTCTTGCTTTACTTCTAGGCATACTACATTCATTGTACATAATAGCATAGCAAATCACCCTATTCATTACATGCCTTATTATCATCTTCCTTCAAATAATTCTTTTATGCGTGTTATTGATTACTCATCACATTGCTTAATGGTTCACGACATGGGTGATAATATTATCATGACTATTTCCGGTTGACATTTGCATTTTGATTGGCCTAATCATCATGAACAAATTATTGCATTTGTTAGAGATTTCATATTGTGGATAACAAGCAAGTTATGCCCCAACTTCTTTTCACAAGTCTACAAACTTACTAATGCAGACATTAGGTATTTTATGTTGCTTGTGAGCATATCTAACACTACAAGTTAATTATCATGATTCAAAGGCTCTATGTCATGGCTTTGTGGTTAAGTCATATCTCTCACAAACTTATTATCAGTTGCAAACATGCTGAACTAGAAAGTTATTTGTCCTCAAAGATGATTTACAATATGTGTAATGAGCTTGGAATAGGGGTGTAAGTGAGCCGAGCCGGCTCGTGAGCCAGCTCGAACTCGACTCGTTAACGAGCTCGCGAGCCGAGCTTATCGAGCTCGAGCTCATTAAGGATTAAACGAGCCAGGCTTGATAAGGCAAATACTCGACTCGACTAGACTCGTATACACCCCTAGCTTGGAATTATTATTTATTAATGTTTGCATTCAGATTAGCGTAATGACTTTTGACATTTGTTAAGGGAGTTTCATGATAGCCATATTATCACAATTCTCATTTAATCCTTTTGCTCATACGTGATTTGTATATTTGAGTTCTTTGGCTCATTACAAGCTTTCATTTGTTCATGTGCATTCAGTTTGTGTATTTTATCACTTTAATTTATATACTTAGTTTCGGTTCATTGAAGTTCAATACTTTGCAAGCAGTCCCATGTTGTCCATTTTTATTCAAATAAAGTCTCATGTTAAGTCCAGATTTCGGCAGCTTCCCGATGTCTCCTCCGTTTAAGAGAAAATTTTGGAGTCATAGCCCGCACGTCCTGTCAAGAAAGAGGTACACGATCGGTATCGAAGGACACCATGGCTGGAGTCTTCAATCTCTCTACGCCAAGAAAGGAGTGCATGGAGCTTCGAAGATTCCTATTTAAAAACGCACAATAATTTCCCAGCTGGCACTGAGGTGCATACGGATTCTTAAAATTTTCCTGTTGTGCTAAGAAAAGCGTATATGAAAATTGACTACGTCATCACAAGTATCACGACGAGTTTCCTCCCATCGTGCTAAGAAAAGAGTGTATGGGTGATTGATCGTCGCGCTGCAAGCGTTGAGGGCAGGGTTTTCGAGTTTATAACTTTATACTTAGCGATATATATCGGTGGTGTCAGCATGTAGATCAAGGCAAATTTTTCTCTCTTTTTAATCTCCCTTTTCCTCTTTTTTTACAATTAATTATAATTATCAATAATTAATTATAATTAATGAGAATTAATTATAATCAACTATAATTAATAATAATAAATAACAACTCATTATAATTTAAGATAATTAATTATAATTAGTAATAATTAATTATAATTAGTAATTATTAATTATGATTAATAATATGAAATATAATTAATTAGAATAAATAAAACTTATAATTAATGATAATTAACTATAATTAATAAGAATTAATTATAATTAATTATTATTAAGTGATTGTTATATATAAAAGGTTATAATTAATGATGTTTCATGTTTACTCATAATTAATTACCCATTATATATTGTAATTATTAATAATAATTAACTATAACTAATAGTTAATAATTATAATTTATTATATAATTTAGGGTATTGATATAATATTTAAGTTTTAGCTTTAGGTGTTAAATATGTAATATATGTTATAAAGTGATATGTATATGTTATAAAGTGGTATGTATGTAAAAATCCCAAAATAAAAATAGAAGAAAATTTTACCTCTTACACAGGATTCGGTTGGTGGCAAGCAGGTGAAGTCGGTGGTTTGAGGAGGGAGGAAGAGGGCTCAATGGGTGAAACGGGTAGAGGAGATTTGTGGCTAGGGCAGGAAGGGAGGTCGGCGGCTCTATAGGTTCGAATGGCTCGGAGTGGGGGGAGGTCGGCTAGTTGTAGTGCGGCTAGGTCGACGGGGTATGGAGCAGGGCTCGGTACAGGAAGAGGAAATCGGAGGAGATCGGGCCGGCTGCGTCTTGCGGCTAGGGCAGAGAGGAGATCAAAACGGGCAAAGCTTGGTCGAGTGGAAGATTAGGGTTTAGCGGCTTGGAGGAGGGAATCGGAAGCAGTAGAGGGTTCGGCTGGAGGAAGATCGAGAGCTGCTCTGACAGGGAGGCCGTTTGGCTGCGAGGGATTGAGAGAGGAGAAGGGCGAGCTCTCGTGCGTGGAAGAAGCATAACGCGAGTGTCTCGTCTTCCTTTTATTAAAACGAATGGGAGAAGAATCAAGGCAAGACGGGGACACGAGTTCGGCGCCGTTTGCAGGGAAGGTACTGTAGCAGGCGGCTGTATACGCAGGATCCGCGCAGAGATTTCGGCAGGGTTTGCAGGTAATGATTTTAAAAAATTTATATATTATTTTTCTTTTTCTTTTGGCTGTATCGTGGAAGCCAAAAGAATAATACCAGACATTACTATGTTCCCAATGTCATTACAATGTAGACTTTCTTGTTATAATTTATCAGCTTTTTATTGTTTTTTTATTATAAAACTGCTTTAAGAAGAAATAATAAAATCGTCTCAAAGTAAGCCTTAGTCACGAACAATTATTACGTCCTCCGATCGGACGTAGAGGAACATCCGGTCGGAGGCCAAATCGCGCCAAAAAACGAGAAATTCCGAGTAAATACCGAGCAATACCAAACAATAACGAGGAATACCATCACGTGAAGACCCAATACTGAGTTATACTGAGCTATACCGAGCTATACCGAGTTGGCTTTATCAAATAAACCTAGCAATACCGAGCAAATACCGAGTTTTTGACGGAATTTTACCTCCGATCGAAAGTTCCTCTACGTCCTTACACCGGACCTAATAAAAGTTCCTTAGTCACAGGTTGACAAAGAAAAGTATTTTGTAGGATTTACTCTACTTGAGGATAAATATGAGACCGACAAAATTTAGATGTTGTGCGTATTGGAATAACTTCTTAGATGATGTATTCAACATTTTGATGGACATAATTTGAAAGTAATGACGAGCTTAAGAAAAATATTGTAGAGACAGACATTTGGAGCTCCCGTAAGTGGCTAATGGTAAAATGTTAAAGCCAAAATACAAAAATTCTTTCATGTTAGATTTAAAGATAACAATGTTTAAATGAGTCTAATTATTGAAAATGCTACATGGTTACATCTAATTATTTCATGTTATTTTTATATCTAATACTTAAAATATTAATATTACATGTCTACCTCTCATATAACAAATATAGGTGTATAGAATGAAATATTAAAATTTATAGGGTAGTATGAGTGGTTGGAATGAAATATAAGAGTGATATATTTGATATTAAAATTGTATATGAGTGATTTGCATGAAATATTAATGTTTTTGAATATTAGATATGTAAATAGTATGAAATAAATTGTTATGTATGTAAACCCCCTAAATTTAGATGTATTGATATGTAATCTAAATAATTATTCATAATAAAGAGTTACAATTGCCATAATTTTATGGAGTGTTTGATGACTACGATATCTAATTCATTACTATATACAATATTAACCTATTAATTGAACTTAGTATTCTCTTTTAAATAAACAAGCCCTAATGAGTAGTGAGCTGAATATCCCAATAATTTTGTGCAAATAGGAGATATAATTTTCTCCAAGTTTCTTCGAATAAACATCCACCGAGGACAGGAGAGTTGGTGATCATATTCAATATTCATGGATGTATCCATTTGAGAGATAAGTAAGATATATTCAATAATTTATATTAAATTTATTTATATTTAGGTCATATTAATATGCTTCAAATATAGTTTATATTTAAATAAGATTAAAATATCAATAAGGAATAAAGCACATCCAAATGATTCCAATATGTGAAGCATATCTATCATAGAACACACCACATTTCTGTTCTTATTACTTCATACTGTATATATATATATATATATATATATGAAGTTAAAACATAAAAGTTGGGCGTAATGTAGATGTAGCTATAGGACAAATAAGTCAAAAAAAAAAGGACAAATAAGTCCATCATTATTATTAAATTTTCACATTTGAGGTAAGGAATCAAGAAAATACATGCTCAAATATCCAATTGATAAATAGATTAAGGAAACTGCATTGCATATTATCCTAAATTGCCTAGAAGTTGAACATTTCGGCCTCGTTTGATCAGGCTTTTTTTCTCCGTTTCCGTTTGAATACGCCAAAATCAATTAGTATTTACTGTTTGGAATCAAAGCTTAACAATAATTCCTTTTTAATAAACATCGTTTTTTCGGCGGTTACAAAATTCTTTTCGTATCTGCTTCTTCGGTCGCAAAACGGAGTTTCGGAAGCGAATTCTCTTATATAATAAAATCTCAAAAGCAGAACTCCTAAACAAACAATTTAAAATTATTTTCAAGTATTAATAAGCACTTTTAAAAATATTAGTCAAACATATCTCATTATTGAAACTCCATTTTATTGAACGGCCTTTTTCTTAACATTCTTTTCTAAAACTCTTTTTTATGTAAGCATAAACCGAATCAAACGAAGCCTTCATAGAGGAAGCTCCCCTATAAAGTTGTAATTGTGAATTATTTACCTATTTCTTAGCTTTTTACAAAATCCATCGAAGCGCAAGAATTCTTTGCAAATACCTCACATTAGTTTGATATATCATCAAAAAATTATCTTTCCAAATTAATTTCAGAGTCATCCAAACTTTGATTTCAGCAAACTTATAGTTGAACTGAACATCTCGAAAAGACAAATCCTATGACACCAAATTCGATCAAATATAAGCCCAAATGAGTTCAAATCGAGGGCTCGAAGCATTTTAAGAAGGTTCAAAGCATAATTTGGAGTTTGGACAACTAAATAATTTTCAAATGTAACATGCTTATTATCGAATTGAGCGACTCATTGAGACGAATCTGACGAGCCCAAAATCGCTGAAATTCGACATCATTAACCCACTCAAATGCTCAATAAATGATGTATAATCAAATGAATCAATATCAGTCATCCATCCAAAACACTTCGAAGATGTCCTTGATCTTCTTCTAATGTACTAGCCATGCCACTTCCATAAAACTATAAACAAACCACTATCGGACCAACGCCAGAACCCCAGCCTTTGTCGAACTTCTGCTTGACCACCAGTTGTTGCCGGACATTTTCCCGACCATCGACCGTCGTCGGACTTCTACCTAGCCACCGGCCATCGCTGAACTTCTGCTCAGCCATCGACTATCATCAGACTTCTATCCTACCATTAACTGATATCGGACTTTCGTCCGGCCGCCAACCAACGTCAGACTTTCTCCTGGATGCCAACTATCACCTGATTTTTGCCAGACTGCCGACTGACGCCAGAGTTTTGTCTTGCCACCGATTGAAGCTGGACCTCCGCCCAACTCTTCATATTATTGTAATTTCACTGTCTTCGAATTAAAAGATGGATCAAGCAATATAATTTATTCAAATACTAGTGGAATCATTTCAACTAGCCGTGACCCGTGATTTTTCTCTTTTTAATGATTTTCCACGTAAAAAATCTTGTGTTTTTGAATTTCCTATTTGTGTGATGTATATCCATACAACACAAACGAAAAATTCTAACTCTAATCGCATCATATATTTTAGCCCGCAATAAGTATCATAAAAAAACAATTGATGACGAGTTTCATGTTATTATAGTCATATACATGTTTTAAAAAACTATTTTTGATAATTTAAAAAATTAGAATTAAATTATAAATTTTCTTGATTTCTCTCAAACTGTGGATTCCTTATCCCAAAAATTTAATTGAAAAATAGAAAATTGAATGATATAGCATGAGGACCAATGAGATCAGTGAGAATATGGTCTAATGTTATACATGTTGCTCATCAAGAAGATCAAATATCAGAATTTAGGTAACCCACCATTGATGTTAACTCACTCCATAGCTTGAATGATAGTAATATTCACTAGAAAGAAGTAGATAGATTCACTAAAGAAAATATTGACAATGAATTAGATAATAAGCAAAGTGTAAATTTAAGTGATATTGATTCAAATGATCATTATGAATGAAATATATGTATTCTATTATATTTTTCACATTTTGTTATATACTATTTTTAAATTGATAATTTTTTTTTTATAAATGCATATGACATCGATGATGAACCTCCTCATAGGGCAATCACATATATATTCGGTCAGTGAAAGACGCTCATCAAATACAAAATTAGAAAATACTTATATATTCGATCAGTGGTTTGTCTCACCTGTGCATCATATCCACTAATATTCATAAGCAAGGCTAGCGATTGTTATGGACATATAAGTGTGTCGAGGCTAATTTATGTAGTGCTTGGGGAAGCCTTGATTATGTAAAAAAATTGAAGCAAAATAAGTAAAATTTAGCATCTTACTATAGGGATATGGGGTGCTTCATTCATACAAACGACTACGGTCGTCTCAATGAGCATAATATATATAGGAGTGATTCTAATGATTCATAAATGCTTGCAAGACTATCTAATAACTCTAAAGAAATTGGTGGTCCTAAGCTCCCTCATTTAGAAGATGAAAGTAAGAGTGAAGCTTCCATTAAGTGGAAGGAGTCTTCTAAAATTAAGAGGCAGAGAGAGTTCATAAGATTCAACTTCCAAGTAGGAAAGCTCTCCCACTAATATGGATGGCATCAAGCTTTATCTAGTGTTTATTTATACATGTGCTTTCTTTTACCTAATGAATATAAGGAAACAAATGAAATTCACATTAAAGTTTTAGTTGGGATGGCTTTCTTACTGCTTCTTTAAACAGCTTTTTAGTATTAAAATTTTAATTTTTGAACTAGAAAGTTGCTTTAAGAACTAGTAAGAAAGTCATCTCAAATAAAGCCTAAGTATAAACAAACAAATCACAAATAATTGATGCCACATGCATTCAATGAAAAAGCATAAATGATGATGCATATTAAAATTTTATATTAGAAAATTGCTTTAAGAAGCAGTAATAAAGTTATCCCAAATAAAACCTTAGTTATATAATAATTTTGAATCTCATATAATTGGTCTACTTAAATGTAGTGATGTTACACATTTAGGCTATGTTTGGGACGGTTTTCTTACTGCTTCTAAAAGTAGCTTTTTAGTGAAAACTAAAATTTTTACACTAGAAAGCTGCTTTTAGAAGCAGTAAGAAAGCCGTCCCAAACGAAGTCTTCGTTATATACATTTGAATGGATTCACCATTAATAGTTATAGGTTTCATAATATAAATAAAACTAATGGAGAACCATAGGCCAGTGGAAGTTGTTTATTCGAAATTTATTGGAACCTTTTTAAAACATGCTCGAACTATGCTCAAATTTGTTGAAACAAGATTCAAAATCCTTTGATTTTATTCTCCTTATTTATTTAGAAATAATCTTTGAGATATATTTTTCTAAAAAAAATTAAACTAACAAACAAGGATATTTTGGCAAATTATGATCATTATGAGGTATGTTAAATTAAAATTTTATTATAAGATTTAGAAAAATAAATTTAACAAAATGTTTTATATTAATAATATTTCAAACTTTGTTAAAAGAAATTAATATCACAATTATTAATATATATAATTATTTTAAATGAAACGCTGCCTGTTATCTTCTTCGTAGCAAAAGCGGAAGGACGCGCTTGCTGACCTTCCGCTTTTTGAAACGGGTTAACTGCCTCCACCTCGAGCCCATCATCATATTCCAGTACTCTCATTTCTTCCCTCGCACTCGCAGGATTACGATTGCTGTTCTTGAAGCTCTGGCAGGAAGAAAATGTCTCGGCGTGGAGACGGCCGCGGTGGCTTCTATGGAGAGAGATATCAACATCCACCTGCTTCCGGCGAGCGCGGAGGGAGAAACATAGGTCGCAGCGGCAACAGAGGCCGCGTCGTCGGTGAAACTCGCAGCCGCGGTCAACGATTCGGAATGGGCGGTGCAATGCCGCCCCAGCAGGAGAGACCGACCCCGTCGTCGTCGTCCTCTGCCTCGGGCTTGTCTTCTCTCAGTAAGGCTTTCGAGGAGAGCGTTCAGATCCACAATGGGATATCGGAGAATGGAACGGCTGAGTTTCCTGCACCCACCGCGGCTTCGTCTGTGGATTCTGCTATTTCGTCAGCTGAGACGGCTACAGAGGCCGTGGTTCCACTCGGTTCCAGTACAAGTGTTGTGCATCCACTTCGTCCAGGTTTTGGATCCGTGGGAAGGAAAATAATGATTCGTGTGAATCATTTTCTTGTGGACGTTGAAGATAAAAATATTTTTCAATATTCAGTGAGTACTGAGTACCCTTCTAAAAAGCGATCGTTTATCTTCCGGTTTTGTTTTGTTTTGTTTTTATTTTTATTTTTATTTTTGTTTTTGGCTTATTTATGTCGTAGCACTCTTTTGAATTTTTTATGTCGTTGTTTGCCGGGATATTGCTCGTTTCATTATTCTGCCACTTGCTGTGGGTTTTCATCTTTTTTAACCCGATGGGGATTTGAAATTTTGAATCCTCGTCTTCTGGAATGGTGTGAGCAAACGACTTTCTATTTTTTCCAATCTTTTCCTTCAGGGGATGTTTGGTATAGGATTTGAAACAGGATTTACGGTAAATCCTGCCAAAGAGAAAAAATGGATATCTTAAATCTCACTGTGAATTAAATCCTCCGTTTCCTACTTTTTGCTGTAAATCCCGTCGTCGTGGATTTAGTACGGTTCGGCGGATTACGGGATTTGGCCGAAGAAGCGCGCGAAAGGGTAGAAAGATGGTTACCGTCACAGCGAGCGAGCTCCCGTTGTCGTGGAAGGAGGCGGAGGAAGAACGTTGTCTATCTGTCGTCGTGACTTCCTATCACACAGAAAAAGGGAACGTTGGCAAAGGAGGCTCGAAGCTCTACCTCACGGTACATGCGAAAGTCCAAACGAAAAAGAAGAGGAAAAGCAAACCTTAGATAGGCCTAACGAGAAAAATAATTATTAATTATAAGAATAATTAAATAGTAAGTAATGAAATACTAAATAATAATTGAATAATTAATTAAATAATTATCAATTTAATTAGTTAGTAATAGAATACTTAAATAATTGATTAGACAGTTAATACTATATTTAATTAATAGGTCACAAAAAATCGCTTTGATCAAGCACAAATTTCGATGCATATTTTAGTTGACAATTTTTAAAATTAGATGCGAGACCATCCTAACTCCTATTTCAACAAATTTATAGTGAAATTGAACGTCTTAGTAAGATGAATCCAATGACACCAAAATCGGTCCAATTCGAGCCCAAATGAGCTCAAATCAAGGGACCAAAGCATAATTAAAAGGTTCAAAGCATAAATTGGATGATCAAATGATATCTAAATGTGACATGCTTTTAGTAGAATCTAACGGCTCGATGAGACGATTCCATGAGACTAAGTCTGCTTAATTATGACATCATTAACACACTTCAATGATTTATAATTGACTTAATTATGACATCATTAACATACTTCAATGATTCATAATCGAGTGAATCAGTATGGGCGTTCGATGGACCACTTCGAAATTTATCTTGGATCTTCTCCATATTTATGGAGCATGTCATTCAAAATCTATAAATTGACATCCGCTTCTCAAATGAAAGGGGGCTTGGACCTTTGTTGGCTTAAACCTTAGGCTGAAGACTAAAGAGAAATTTGAGGCTTGAAGAAGCCCAAGGCTCCAGGCCAGCACCACCGCCAATGAATCCTCAATACCAGTCCACTTCTGCTCGATCATTGCGATTGAACATCCATCTGACAGCCATCGCTGGGCCTTCTTCTAACCTCCGTTACTCGTCGACTACAATCGGTCCCTCCAACCTTGGTCGCCCGTTGACTACGATCCCTCCGACCTCCGTCACTCGTCAATTACGATCCCTCCGACCAACGTCTCCTTCCAACTATGATTCCTCCGACCAAAGTTACCCTCCAATACGGTCCCTCCGACCACCATCTCTCACCGACTATGGTCCCTTCGACTAATGTCTCCCGATGACTACTATCCTTCAGATCAACATCACCTGCAGGCTACGGCCCCTCCGACTAGCGTCGCCTATCAGCTATGGTCCATTCGGCCTCCATCACCTCAGGCTACGGCCCATTCGGCTACCATCCTTTTGACCATGGTCATCCACCGACAACAGTCTCCTCTATCTCAGTCACCCGACTATGGCACCTCCGATCTCCGTCGCCTGAGTAAAATCCTACCGACCAAACGAGAAGGCCAACATTTTCTTATCTCTAGATTCTTCCGACTCCAACTATGTAATGTGCTCTAAATGATGTATATTTTCTACATTGAGCCAAGGCTTTCTCTCGAGGGAGGGCATCATTCATAATTAACTATAAACACTTGTAGAATCATTTTAACTGGACAAAATTTCGTGGGTTTTCCCCTTTTTAGGATTTTTCACGTAAAAATCTTGGTCTCTTCTGACTCTTGAACCCCTATCTCTCTTATGTGTCAGTGTGCTAGATCTTCGTATAAGGTTTGGACGCTAAATTCTATACCTTTCAACCGCCGTGAATGTTCTAGGATGCAACATTAATAATTAAAAAATATTTAAATAATGCTTAAATAATTAATTAAATTATTTAATAATTAAACTAGCTTTTAATAATATTATTTATAATTGTAATTTGTTGGTGATAGTTAAAATTAAAATTATAAGTAATCATTATTTAAAATTCAAATTAAATTTAAAATATAAACTAAATTTGAATTTTTAACGAACTGATCGTCTTAAATTATGGATTACGTTGCCAAATAATTTCATATAATTTATCAGAATTTAACGGTTATCTTAAATAGGTTTCAAAATTTAACACATCAGTATTTACTGAATCCTGATTGAGTAAATCCAATTAAAGTTAAATCCTACTTGTTGCCAAATAGCATCTCGGGTTTAGCTGCAACCCATAATAGATAGGTTTTTTGCCCATAAGTAGGACATGTTAAATCAGATTTCTGTAATCCTGTTAACATTGCAATGCTGAGTAAATATTAGGAGATTAACTTAAGCTAAATAGAGATATACTTTGGATTTATAAACTATTATGATCGATGACGCCACGGCCTTGTGATATTGCGTTATTAGCAGATGTAAGTTGTTTGGTATGAAGCTATAAGTGATTATAATTTCATCAATGCCATGGATTTTTTTTTTTTTGGGTTACATTTAGATGCTGGTCAAATTTCTGATATCTATCTAGTTGCAAAATTAAAGGGCAAGCGAAATAAAGATCACAATTTGCATTGATAGTCATAGATGGCATTGTGTTGTTTATGTAAGATAATATTGATCCAATTGCATTGGATTTTGTAGATAAGATAGTTATCTGAATAATACAATCATGAAAATATTGGAGATACAATTGTTGTCCTAAGATAGGACTGTGCTTCACAAAGGGGTGCTTATGCCTGATCCCATATCAATCTTTATTTGCTTAGCACCAACTCTCACACATTAAAGGGTTCACTATCAAAAAGATGAACCATCCTATACTTTCTATAGAATAATTAGATTTAAACTCTTTATGTGGAGTTGTTGAATGAAACGATGCATCTAAATCTAAGATTTAGCATGCACTGTGCTTCACAAAGGTGTGCTTATTTTAGTAATTAATATGATGTATGGGCTCTTGGGAGTGCTTCAACTGTAGGGCTTTGCAATTAATATGGACATTTATTAGGCAATATGATGCACCAAAGTAATGTCGGAGGTTCGCTCAAAAAGGCACATCTTAAGAAGATTTTTAGATGTAGTAGGTACATATTCTAATTATTTTTTAGGACGTTACGTCGTTACCCAAGAGTCTTTGTTTGCCTAACGATGTTGAATACTCCCTTAATTATCTTGAGTTTTTTGCATTACTTGAAAGTATGTTTGGGGAATGATAGTTTTTGTTTTTATATAAGGGTTCTCTTGGATCTTGAGGATTTTTTTTGGGTCTTGATTCTTGACATATTTTGTCACTTTCATTTAAATTAAAAAAAAAAAAACCTTACCAAGGGGACTTCTAACAATTTCGTCATATTATTTTGTGTATGAAGATGGAGGATAAGTAGGTGCATTTACTTGTTTTTCCATTGTTTTTATTTCCCTGATGATGGATGTTGTAAAATGAAATGTGTAGCTCTTTATTTTAAGTTCTATGCAGGCTGCCTAATTTTCATATATATATATATAATGCCATATTATATTTCTGATTGTGTTGGCTTAAGCATTAAGCCTTTTTTTTTTTCTAACTTGAACAAAGTTTATTTTAAATTTTGCGATGTTTGCTCTTGATGTTATTTTCTTACATGTCTTCAGGTTAAAATAGAACCGGAAGTAAAATCAAGGGCTTTTGGAAGAATGGTAATGAAGAAATTGATTGATGATTTTGGTGAATTGCATCTTGGTCAGCTTAAGCTGGTTTATGATGGAAGAAATATTTTTTACACTGCGGGGCAGCTGCCATTCACTTCAAAGGATTTTGAGTTGACTGTGATAGAAAGGAGAAGGTATGTCTGCAAGGTGATCCTTATAAAAGACTTCAAGCATTACTGATATTAATATATTTTCATGTTTACCTTTGCAGTCGTAAGAAAACGTACACAGTTTCCATTGAATTCACTAAAGGTTTTGATTTGCACCCTCTAAAGCAGTTTCTGAAGGGGAGGCAGAGGGACTGCCCTCATGAAACCATACAAGCACTTGATGTGGTTTTGAGGGAGTTTCCTTCAGAAAAGTAGTTGCATCTCATCCTTTTTTTGTCATAAACATTATTAGATTTCTTTTCTTTTCCCTTAATTTTTTCTCTGATAATTTTCAGCTATGTCTCTGTCTCGAGATCATTTTTCTCTCCAAAATTTGGCAATAAGGAGGCAATTGGTGGCGGTTTGGAATGCTGGCGAGGTTATTATCAGAGCCTTCGACCAACACAGATAGGACTATCTTTGAACCTCGGTATCTCATTTATTATGCGTTTTCACCATCTTCAGTTTGATTTTCTCAAATTGTCCTCAGGTGTTCTTGTTTCCCTTTCCTAACTTCTGTTGTTTTTTTAATCCTGTAGATATTTCGGCAACATCTTTTTTTAAACCTGTGAAACTAATGGATTTTGTATCAGAATCTCTTGAGCTCAAGCCGCTTCCTAAGGTTTTTTCAGAGCATCTTCGTATACAGGTATCAATTTTTTCCCCTTCCATGCACTAGTCACATATGTTGCTTTTACTGCAAGCTTGCATATGAAGGAGAAGCAGAATAACTTCTTTTTTTTTTCCTTTTGCGGGAGTCAAACAGGTTCAATGAAATAATCCAGTATATTTTCAGTCACTTGTATAATTTCCTTATAAATATTAAATAGACTGGTTCATTTTTCTATAATTATTTTATTATTCTCCCTGAAATTTATAGGCGAATAAGATCTTAAAAGGAGTTCGTGTGGAAACAACGCATAATTCAAAGCCATCTAGATGTTATAAAATCACTGGGCTAACATCTCAGCCAGCAAACAAATTGCTGTATGCTCGTTGGCGTAGTTCATTTTAGTTTTTTCTTTGAGCTCTTTTCATAAGCTTGTTCGATTATTGCAATGTCTTGATATCTATATTATATTTTTATTTGCTGTTTCCCCCTACAATTTTAGGTTTTCGGTCGATGGTCAAGCAGATACAATATCTGTTGCTCAATACTTCAAAGATAGATACAAGTACAATCTCCTATATGCTTCATATCCATGTGTGCAAGCAGGAAACAGCAAGAAGCCAGTGTATCTACCGATGGAGGTAAGCTTAGAAATGCCTTCTTGGCATTATTTCATATTTACGTGATATGACGTTATGCTGTTAAAAGGCATGGTTTTGTTACAATAGTTATGCAAAATTGTGGAAGGTCAAAGGTACTCTAAAAAGCTCAATGAACAACAAGTGGCAAATATGCTGAGGGCAACTTGTAAGCGCCCAGCAGTCAGGGAGGATGGCATAATGAAGGTCAACATCAATCTATTAAATGTCACATTGTTTATTTTTGTTTCATCTATAGCTAATTTTTAGATTACTTTAGCTACTCAATAATGCTCTATAAAGTAATGAATGTGTTAATATTTTAAATGCTGCTGTAGATATGGAGTCAAAATAGTTACACTGATGATATGCATGCCAAGGAGTTTGGTATCACAGTTGATCGACATCTTCAGTTCGTGGAAGCACGCATTCTTCCTCCCCCTAAGGTTACTAGTTTATTTTGAGGTGTTCTTTATTTGAAGTACTGTCAGTAGTTTTTGTAGTTTATTCTAATTGGTTGATTGTTCAGCTCAAATATCATAATAATGGTCGGGAAAGGACATGCAATCCAAGTCTTGGAAAGTGGAATATGATCGGAAAGGTAACTGCTTTTTGTTGCCATACCTGAAGTAGCTGCAGCCGTTTTCAGTTGCGTTCTAGTTTGAACATTTTTTTTTTCTGCAGCTCTTAATTATGTGGAATTCCTATCCAAATATCACGTTTACCTCCCTAGATAGTGTTGGAGCTATTCTACATAATTTAGGGGATGTTTATGTCAACATTGCTTTGTATAATGTTATATTATCTTAAAATAAAATTGTTGATTTGCTGTTTTATCTCACAATGAGCTAATCTGAATAACATTAGTAGGCATGATTGAGTTAATTTACATTAATGGTCGAGTTGGATGCTATCCATATTATATTAATCTTGATTGCTATAAAAAGAGGAAATAAAACAATATATTTAATCACTATTGATTATTCTAAACAAAAGCACATTCTTTAAGATGACATTAAACTAAAGACCTTAGAAACTGGAGGATGAAAATAATTCCCATGAGGGAGTTAAGGGGAGGGAGGGAGAAGCAACAAACATTAGAAACTTGAAAGAGGTGAGGGTGAATCCTCAAAGGAATGATGTAAAATTTACAAATCTCAGTTCATTATGTAATAACCAAGTAAAAGAAATGCGTATGTATTACATAGATATAATCATGTTTACTAATTACAATCATAAAATTGATGGCTAATATCCATGCTACATCAATTCCCCTCGACTACAAAAAACTTTACTTTGGAGCATTGATTTTTCTAGAAAGAGAATTGTAGGTGTACAATAATATTGCAATGCTAGCCAAATTAATTCCACAGAAGAGAACAACAACAACAATATTCTCACTAGAAATTTGCAAGAGGTTGGACCCTGGTGTATGTTTTTTGTTGATGATAGTCTTCTTGTAGATAAGACTAGAGAGGGAGTTGAAGGTAAATTTGAATTATGGAGGTCAACCTTAGAGTCGAAAGACTTTTGTTTGAGTAAATCTAAAATTCAATAGATGGAGTGTAATTTTAGTAATAATAGATCTAGTGGAGGGATTGTGACTGCGGGCGATCAAGTCATTAATAAGAGCACACATTTTAGATATCTTGGGTTTATTGTTCAGAGAGATGGTGAAATAGATGGGAATATTGTTAGTAGAATTTAAGTTCGATGGTTGAAGTGGAGGAATGCGTCATGTTTGTTATGTGATAGAAAAGTCCCTCTCAAACTTAAAGAAAAATTCTGTGAGATAATAGTTAGACCTACAATGCTTTATGGTGCAGAATGTTGGCCATTAAAAGAGAAGCATAATATTAAGTGTTGCAGAGATGAGGATGCTAAGGTGGATGAGTGGCTTTACTGTTAAGGACAATATATAAAATGAGCATATATGTGAAAAGGTTGGAGTAGCTCCAATGGAAGATAATCTTAAGAGAGAGTTGCCTTAAATGGTTTGGTCGCATAAAATGAAGACCTTCCGATGACCTGCTTAGGAAAATAGATATATAAGATTTGATCTATATTAAGAAAGGTAGAGGTAGACCTAAAAAAGACTTGGTTAGAAAATATTAGAAATGACCTTTCGTTATTAGATTTAGATGAAAATTTGACCCTTAACATGACACAATGAAGAAAAAGGATCCATGTAGCCGACCCCACATAGTGGGATAAAGGCTTTTTGTTGTTGTTGTACAGAAGAGAGACAAATTTAAAATTCATTATAGAGTTGAGGTGATGAATGGGAAATCCATCCCGAAGATGAAAAGTCAAAGAGGATGAACGATAGTAGTTCATTAGAGGTCGTCAACAATATTGTAGTACTAGTAAAATTCATTTCAAAGAGAAGAGAGATTGGAAATTCATCACAAAGTTGAGATGATGAATGAAAATCCATCCCCAAGGAGATATGACGCTGACAAAGATCAATATTCAACAATATTGACAAAAGATTTCATATTTCATTGTTCAGAACATAATTTATTTTAGAAATATATCTTTGAAACATTAAATTTTTGATGCGCAACTAAATGAAATAAATCAAATTGAATCAACTTTTATTTCTTTTAAATAAGGTTAGTGTAAGGGATATTTTAAGCAGATAAATGAGCCCTATGCGCATGTGACTAGCACTATGTGCATGTGACTTTGCTTGTATTAATTTGGGTATGACTTGTTGGCGAAGCTTCATAGAGTGCTAGAATGGGCGTAATTGATGTGATCAATGTATCAATAATTGCAAGTGGTTAAGAGGTTTATGTGCCGTGGGTGTGCAAATAAATGTGATCAAATGTAGGGTGGTGACAACTGAGTGTATTGCATGCTAGGGCATGTGACAGAATTATCACCTGTGATCCAATGAGTGCATGGCGTGCGAGTGTGATGCATCTAAAAAGATTTTGTGACATCAAGTATGAAGAGCATGTGTGGGTGATGAGACAAATACAAGTTTGCAGAAGGACTTGAAAGAGGTTGTTGGGGTGGTGTGTTCAAAGTGGCAAGGCTATGTGAATTGGATAGGAACAATTGCACTTGACTTAGTGGATGCGACTGATATTGGATGATTCAGTGCGGAGGGTTGATTGAGTGGAGTTGTTAGAAGGACAAAGAATGTGTTGTTAGGGTATTCGTGTTGAAGCAATGGTGAATTAGTGATGAGACAACAATTTTGGTAGTTGAGGGGATAGGGGTAGACAATGCTTGGGATTGGAAGGGACATGGAATAGGTTTGGTAATGATACCAAATTGATATAGAGGAGCATAGTTGGAGTTGGCAAAATTCAATATAAGAGTATTAAAGAGGTTGAGAGATGAAGAAATTGAAGAATTAGATGAAAAGAATGTCTCAAGAGGGAGAGAGGCGAGAAAAAGAGAGAGAGATGAAGCAAGAAGTAGACAACCTTAAAGGTGGAATCTCAATTCATAAAAAAATTTAATACATGACTAGAGTCCCTTATATAGACAAAAGTTTAAAATACCTACCTAAATGAATTAAACTATTAAGGAATAAAATAAAGGCTATATTGTCTTTATTATGTAGTGTTGACCTCTATTCAGTTGGATAAGAGAAAACAAAAAAAATGAAATAAATTTTTTTACCAAATCATTGCATACCTGCCCATATCTCTGCTAAATCCTGCACAAATCATATCCTGTCAACTATCGATGCCCAAGTCATATCAGCCGGGGGAGAAATAAAAAAAAAAAGAGCTGAATAACCTATTATATACTCAGCCCCCTCCTTTTGATCGCCTCTCTCCACTACAATCCGTAACTCTCAACTCCCCCCAACTATGAGAACTTTATCCATGCTCTTTCTTCCTCTCCCACAAAGTTTCCACCCACAAAAGCAGCCGCACCCCACGCGATCTCTTCCTCCCAACTCCACTCGAAAGCTCTGCACCTTCCACTCTCTATTTCTTCGTCGTTGCTTCCGATCCACTTGCCGCGATCCATAGGCAAACCAAATCCGAAGCCATCGCCTGTTCTCCTTTCTGTATCCGACATTATCCCTCCCGTCCGAACTCATCCAACCGACCCCTCTCCTCATTCGGCGGAGAGAAAGAGAGAGAGAAAGAGAAACAGGGAGAGAGAGCTTCTTCCCCATACCTTTTCTCCAAACAAAACAGGGAGAGAGAGCTTCTTCCCCATACCTTTTCTCCAAACCGAACTCCTGTACCGACTCCGACTTCACTACCTCGACCGTCCCTCTGCCTTAACACCTATTTGACGCCTCCGACTTCAACCGACCGAAGCCCCCATCCGATTACAACTGAAACCCCTCTCGATTCCTCTTCAGCCAAGCTCTTCACAAGACCGGCCGACCTCCTTATCTGCTGCTCTCCTCTCTACCGCAATCAAGACCCAACCCCACGTCTATGAGGCTGAACTCATACCCACCTCTCCTTGATCCCGATCCACTTAGCCATATCACAGACCCGACACCTTCACTTCTCTTAATCTAGCCGAACCCCAACTCAACCTAGGTAATCATGCTCATTCTCACTTCAGCATTTTGTTATTATTATTATTATTGATAAAAAATGATTTTGTGCTCTCCATCGTCTTCATCAACCATCGCGAAGGTACAATGCTCTCTAAACTTAAAAAATCTGCTTTGGCGCTTGAAACGTGACGAATAATCACCTATGCATGCTTTTCTCTAGCATGGTAGGAGGGAATTTGTCGCGATGCTTGCGACGGGACGGGTAATCACAAAACTCCTTTTTTGACATTAACAGCGCATCGGAAAATCAACTCATGCACGTTTTTTATTAGCGTGGTGTGAAGGGAATCCGGTGCTACGCATACGACGTGGCGGGGGCAAATATATAAAATTGTGCATTTTTGAATCGGTGCCTGAAGACACATGCACGCCTTTCTCTACCGTGGTGGGGATCAAGATTTTACGACAGCGATGTCCTTGTCCGAGGGTACATACCGTGCATGCTTTTCACTAGTGTGGTGGGAGGCATAGTTTTTTGTAGTTTTCTCTTAAATGGGGGAGAAGCCGAGAGGCTGCCAAAATTTCGGGTGAATATATGACTGCACTATGACCTGATTTGGACTCAAACGAACACGAATTAGTGGACTTGAGCATGAACTACAAGGACTTGTATTTGAACATAATTCAAATGATTAATCAAGACCTGAAGCAAACAAAATAAGTTTGAACTTAAACCAGAATTGAATATCAGGTGAACACATTTAAACTCAAGGAAAGACTTGAGTTGGATCATAGGGGACTCGCATAAGACTCAGACTCGAACTTGTGAACCTTTGAACATAATTTGAACATTGATTTGAATATCAATGAATAAGAATTTGGACTTGTACTTGAACATAAAATGATTAATTGGAATACTTGAATTTAATTGAAAAGGACCCGAATCACATGAGCTTAATTTGAGCATGAAATGAGCATAGGCTTGTGGATTTCAACATAGCTTGAAACAACATATTTTCAAGTAAGGATCAAATGGAGAAATGCAATAGTATGCTCATGCTTAATAATACAAAGTCTTCAATGAGCATTAAAGAATCCTCATTTCAATTGAGAAGTCAATTCATCATGCATGGCTCAATCATCTTCATATGACATCAAAGGATTTGTCACATTCAAATTGGACAATCTACGAGCAATAATATAAAAAATTTTAAATGAAAATCATGAGACTGGTCAAGGCACGATCATCAATGAAGTAAAATATTATGAAAGTCATGAGTTACTTTGACTAGTGCAAGTAACAATGTGCTTACAAGTGACTATAAGGAGATTGTAAACTATAATAGTTCACTAGCCAACATGCATGAAATGGTTAGTCATGAATGTAGCAGTGCTTCTGCAATCAACAATAATAGAGATACTACAAAGATGGCATGTCCTTCATGAATACAGATATACATATATTATGTTATTTGCAAGTTGATGCAATCATAATTTTTGTATTTTAATTTTCTAATATTGAACATTAGTATTTTATTTAGTTTTTATATATTTTTAGCTATCCAATGATGGAAGGCATCCAATGATCATGGTAGGTTGTGCTTGGACTTTGGTAGACCTTTGGTATGCTAGCTTGATTGGTCCTTTGGGCTGCTGCTGGTTCTCGGGTTGGCTCATGGTTCTCGGTTTGAGCTTATGTTGATGTTGGGAGGTGTGGTTTATTGGAGTTGAGCTGTTCTCTCTAAGATGCTAGCTCATTAATGTTGAGCTGAAGTTTAGTTCATTTATTGGGAGATTTATTAAACTATCTAGCTCATTAATCTAAAAAGGTATGCTCTTAAGTCTTGGATTCATTTTGGAGTGGTCTTGCCTCTTCTCCTCCCATTGTCTATTTGTTTTCTTGTGCTGGCTGTTTTCCCATGCCTTGTCCCTTAGATTCTGTGGCTGGCTGTTGGTTTCTTGTGCTGGGTGGTTTTCCCGTGCCTTTGCCCATTTGGTTCTTGCGGCTGGTTGCTTGGTTTTGCGGCAGGCTGCTCTGTTCCGTGGCTTTTTTGCTTGGTTCCTGTGGGCTTCCTATTGGACCGGGTTTACCGGTCCCGCCTGGACCCGTGCGGGTCTACAGGCGGAAGAGGGGGGCGAGCATCCGGCTGGACCAAGAGGGACCCCCCACTTAAGTCGGGGTATTTTGGGGATGGGAGGGGATTTTTTGAAAGGTATGAAGGGAGCATTAGGGTTTAGTTTTGGGTATTATGAAAAGTGTATTCTCTTTCTAGTTTTCTTCCTCTAGTCTTCTCTTGTGCTTTTCTAGGGTTTTCTTGTGGGAGATCTTGTCCTTCTCGAAGTGGACAAACTTATCTTGTTTTTCTCTTGGCTTGCTAATGCAAAGGTTCTCATTTTTCTTATCTACTCTTGTTTGTGATTACTTACTCATTTGGTGTTGGTGGAGAAAGTTCACTCTCTTGGAGGGGAAATTAGGGCAAACCCTAATTTGTGAAACCTAAGACGTACCAAGTTGGTATCAGAGCTCTTGATCCTAGACGGCATGGCGTCAAAGAAAGTGGAAGTTTTGGAGGGAGAGATGGGCCAATTGAAAGAGGAGGTGAGTGAGAAACTTTCGTCGATGGAGTGAAAATTTTCATCCCTAGAGGAGAGATTTGGGGGAATGGAAGAGATGATCCGGAAATTGCTAGAAGCTCAAGTTGTTCCATCAAACCCTAAGGAAAAAGGGAAATCTCCGGTGACGAACCAAAACCCTAACCCTAATTTTCCAATTAGGGAAGGAGTAAATCAGAGTGAATATGGCATGTAAGGGCAATGGCCAAGGGAAGGAGGAGAAGGGTCTGGAGTAGGTGGCCCTTGAGGAATGATCGGTGGTCAAGGGGGCAGGCCATACATGGGCTCGGTGGGCCCCCACGGCACACGCGAAGGGTGGCCGAATCAGATGGGGGGGTTTCCGGAAGGAAATCGTGCCACGTGGGAGCAGGGAGGAAGAAGGGAAGACTATGGCATGGGCTATGGAGAGCCAAGAGAACCACCATGGAGGGGGTTTCAAAATCCTTACCCGGTGGAGAGGAGGGGAAGACCACAAGGGGAGGGATTTACTCACGGGACATGGGGAGATGGAAGAACCTTCCATCGAGCTGACAACCGCATGAGGAAGTTGAAGATTCCTATTTTTGAAGGGGAGGATGCTTACGGATGGATCTACAAGGTGGAGGGCTATTTTGCAGTGAATGGTGTCATCGAAGAGGTGAAGTTGATGGCGATTCCGATATGTTTGGAAGGGAAGGCATTGGCCTAGTTTCAATAGCTAGAAGGGAGACAACACGTTAGGAGTTGGGAGGAGTTCAAAGACCTCCTACTTCATAGATTCAGGGTGTCCAGCGAGGGTACACACTATGAGCAGTTGGTGGCTCTAGTGCAGGAGGGCACAGTGGCAGAGTATAGAGAGCACTTTGAACTACTGTCAGGCAGATTGAGAGGGATTCCAGATGACCTT